TAAACACAATACGAAAGAATTCGATATAATGATTAGTTACTCGCATAAAGAAAAAGTTCTGTGTAAACAAATCTATGATGAATTGATTAAATCTGGTTATCGAGTTTGGATTGATTTCGATCAAATGCATGGAAATGTGATGGATGCGATGGCACAAGCCATTGAACAGTCGAATACCGTTATTATGTGTATGAGTGAACAGTATCGAAAAAGTAATTATTGTCGAGCTGAAGCACAGTATGCATTTCAACGCGAACGGAAAATAGTTCCGATTCTTCTACAGAAACAATATAAACCTGATGGATGGCTCTTGTTTATTATTGGCCAATTACTCTATGTTGATTTTAACAAGTATGAGTTTTCACGAGCCATGCAAATGTTACATAATGAATTGAAAGTTGAATTGATGGTGGAGACTCATACCGCACCGGTTCGACCAAAAGAAGATAGCGTCGTAGCTCATTCTACTACATATATCTCTGCACCCGAAGCATTGAGGTCATCAATCGTCTCTGAGAATATTCTTGACTGGACACAATCACAAGTACAAGATTGGCTATTGGGACATAATCTTCGTCAGTTGTCTCGTCTTTTCGCTGCTTGTGATGGTCGTAGTTTACTGTATTTAAGCAAATACATGAAAAATTGTGAACCACAACAAATTTTGGATTTACTCGAAGCAGATTCAGTTCGTCGACTCAATGAAAGTATATCATTAATTGAATTATCCTCTTTTCATTCTGTAATGCACGAAAAAAAGAAACGTCTTCCATCAATGTACAGTTCAAATACATGATGTACAATGGTTGAATTATTACATGAAAACAACAGGCTCACTGTTATTATCTAACATATATATTTTCACTATGAATTCCTGTTTATTTTCTTAATAAATAGATTTTTCTCGAAATCAATCTTTCTAATCAGAAATGAGTAATACGAAATCAACGGCACGAACTCATCACTAGAATACTTGGTTTATAGTTTAAGAAAATTACCCATTTAAACCTCACAATAGATGGACATATTTCATTCATTTAGTTCCGTATTGTATGATTTCGAATGTATCTGTAAACATTTATTTCATGCAGTCAACGTATCTGTATTTTTATATAGAAATTTCCTAACGCACAATAACAACAGTTATAAATCGACGATATTATGACCTGTTCATAAATTATGAATAATTCGATATTGTGCTATTTGTGCTTCTTTCAATTATTGTAATTTATTCACTTGATCATGTTTCTGCTTATGCGTCATTCATTTTTATCTTCGTTTTCTAATTCTTTTCAGTCTTTACTCTTTTCTCTATTCTGTATACTGTCAAGACAACTAAACCATTCGCTGGTTAGTAGTGTGACAAAAAGCAAAACACTAATCATGACTAAATTCTCATACATCGTCAAAATATGTTAAAATGTAATACATTCAATCGTATATTTTGTGCTAAAAATAACGTTTTAATCACCGTCATTTTCCTGACGAAATTTCATTCACAATCTAGATTTCTTACGCCATTTCAATAAATCCCTAAAATATATTTACATAAATGTCGTTAGTTTTTTGAGTATTTTAAGCTGGTTGCTATGACTATACTGCAACATCGTCATAAACAATAAATCCTCAATAAATAGACAAATTTCAGGACTCAATCTGCCGGTATACGAAAAGGAAATAATTTATGTATATAATATGCATACTGGTGTTTGACTTTTTATGACATATACGCACGAAAACCTAACACAAAGACACTGCTATATAAAATAACGAGTATTCGACTGCATTCGTGTGCATTCGTGGTATCAAAATCCAGCGCGTCATTTTATTTTTGCAATAAATCACTTCATACAGGTGTGCTCTACAGAATACATGACATAACACGCGATGGAAAGTATTTTTCATCAACTCGTAGCTGCATTGCACGAATCTCCTTTATCAACTGATGTTCTTGATCAAATAGTCGTTTTACTTCAACAACAAACTGATCAATCCGCCTCCAGTTTTGTTACCAGCACATATGCATCGTTACTTATTCTCGAACGATGGGCATGGGAACTATTTAGTCAAGAGTCTCATGGATGGATGGACGAACCATCCTACCAACAACTTTTGCAAACTCTTGCAATATTCAACGAGAAGATAATTTTTAACTGTGGCGAAATAGACATGGAGAAGAAAGGTTCTCTTCTATTCTCTGTAACGATTGAGCAAGTCAATAGTGTATTCATGCATATTGAACGAAGTACCTACGATAATGATCCGTTTATTGCTTTCATCAGTATATGGTTCGACAATCACGCAAAATTTGCTTTTGATAATCTGGAATACACGTCGCCAATAATTAATTATATCGGTCGATATGTTTTTAATAAATATATTAAGAGTAAAGAATACAAAATCTTTTTAACTCAACTTCGACAACCACATTTATCACATACAATATTTACAACGAAGTTTTTATTCTACATTGCAACATGCCCATCGTACTTCAATTTGTATTTAGTTCATGAAGCTAAGATGTTTTATGACTACGCTGACGATATTGTACAATGCTTCTGCGAAGACTATTTAGAAATAATTCGTGTTCATAGTTATAGTTTTGCATCTTGGTGTAAAGAGTTGGTGTCGTGTATCGCACGACATATTAGCCTAACTGTTGGATGTTGTTGGTTGGATGGCGAGAATCAACCACACATGAAAGCAGTTTTTCCTACAGAAAAAGCTGTACATGATCATTTTGAAGATCTGCTTCGTATTCTATCTTATGAGCCATTATATGCACAAATAAGAATCAAACGCTCAAATGATGAAACAGTTCTAGTGGGCTCCAGTTTAACATATTTTTTGTTAATAGTACAAATGAGAAATATGGATTGGCTTTCTGATTTAAATGCAACATTAAGAAATACTATTCTATCTGTAATTGACACCACGACTAATGATGAGATGGCTACATGTTGTTATGCTGTGCTATGCGAAATCCTGACTGACGAGGAATTGAAAGATTTGAAAATATCAGATAATATTTGTAATTATTTCCTTCAATTGCTCGAACATACTTGGAATAAAACGAAGAAGTATGAACATGTACCCATAATGGTGGTGCTCAAAGGTATGTGAGAAAAAGTAAAGCGTATTCTGAAGAAATTCTACTATTAGTTTTCGGAGCATGATAAAATTCAGCTGAATAAGCAAACGTCAGAATAATAATTTTCTATCATGAAATTCATTTTGAAGTTTTCTTCGAGAAAATCACTGATTAATGGTGACATTGCTTTCTTATTTTCTTTCATTACGGTAAATATTTGACAGTCTTCATTAGTGACTCATTGTCATACGCATAGACTGTGTTTACATCTCACGTAAACTTATCTTTCAAAATTTTCGTAGCTTTTCAAACGCTATCAAAAAATGATACAATGCAACAAAAGATCGCTCATTCGGATAGAATATATTTACTTATTGAAATGTGCGATGAATATCCAATTGTTTACGATATCATATGGGCGTTTTCATTCAATAAGGATATTCAACAACAACTGCGTTCTAATTCACCATTTATATGTAAGCTAACTCAACTATCTCGACGACTAGAGAATAAACAAATGAGTAAAATAATTGATGGAATTCTATGGAATCTTGAAATCAATCACGAAAATCGTTCAATGACAGATAAACACAATACGAAAGAATTCGATATAATGATTAGTTACTCGCATAAAGAAAAAGTTCTGTGTAAACAAATCTATGAGGAATTGACCAAAGCTGGTTATCGAGTTTGGATTGATTTCGATCAAATGCATGGAAATGTGATGGATGCGATGGCACAAGCCATTGAACAGTCGAATACAGTTATTATGTGTATGAGTGAACAGTATCGAAAAAGTAATTATTGTCGAGCTGAAGCACAATATGCATTTCAATGTGAACGGAGAATAGTTCCGATTCTTCTACAGAAACAATATAAACCTGATGGATGGCTCTTGTTTATTATCGGTCAATTACTCTATGTTGATTTTAACAAGTATGAATTTTCACGAGCCATGCAAATGTTACATAAAGAATTGAAAGTTGAATTCATGATCGAGACTGATGCAAAAGCGGTTGGAGAGAAGGAAGATACGGTGGTAGCGCACTCTACTGCATATATCTCTCCACCCGAAATATCGATACCATTAATCGTCTCGGAAAATATTCTTGAATGGACACAAGCACAAGTACAAGATTGGCTATTAGGACATAATCTTCGTCAAATGTCTCGTCTTTTCACTGGTTGTAATGGTCGTGGTTTGGTGTATCTAAGCAAATACATAAAGAACTGTGAATCTGAACAAGTGTTGAAGTTACTCGAAGCAGATTCAGTTCGACGAATAAATGAAAGCATATCGTTAATCGAGTTATCATGTTTTCAATCTTTACTGCATGAACAAAAAAAACTTCTGCAATCTATGATTCAAAGATAATGGAAAAATTCTGATCGTGCACACTAATAGACAAAGATAATTTTGCATATTATATAGTGTTGATGTATTTAGCAGTATTTTGTGGTTCGAGCGGAAAATATATCGCTCTGCGTCACTCTGAGAAAGTAAAATATCATAAATATCTAAGTATTTTTTTTTCGCATTAGAAAACCATCATATTTTGGAATAACTTATGTTTTGAGTATCACTAAATCAGCGTAAGAAACTTGAAAAAATGGTTGAGTATGGTTGAACCACATACCCGCCCATAAAACATAACCTTGCCCTTTATTCTATTCGCAAAATTACAGATATAACTAATTTTAAACGTAGCACAGTAGTATTCTTGTTCTCTGAAGCTATTATTGTTGTTAATTAAAGACTTGCACGTTGCTTCGAAATTATCACTTTCCTATAAAATTCGGTAGTTTTGTTCTGCTTCTCATTCAACTGCTTCATATTAGCGTGGCCTCTTTTCAGTGGCGGCGGAGTCACTGAGACCCATGAGGCTTGAGCCTCACCTAGATTTCGCAAGATGAGGCTCACCCTCACTTGCTTTTGTACTGATTATTGCTATTTTTATTCTTGCATCAAAGTAGGAGCAAAGGAAAGTATATTTTGGTATTTTCCAATCTTTTTTTTATACTGACCATTTTTATTTTTGCTGAAGTTCAGTAAAAAGAAGACTTATTTTCTGCTTGATGCTTTCATAAAATTCCACATTAGAAAAAAAAATATTATGAGTCTCACCTAGTTTAATGACGCTCTGCCGCCCCTGCCTCTTTTCATTGATACAAAAATGAAACTCTATTATTCTTTCTGCATTTTTTCAGAGCACCAATCATCATGCGAAAATAGATGAAAATTACTATTAAATTATTAACATCATTCTGGTTTATTTCAATAATCGTTCTACCAAAAGAATCTTGCCATAAAAGCATTTTTATTGAGAACGAGAAAAAGGAATAGGACAATTGTCCTTCGACTGGCAAGAAATATTACATCGATAGAAATGACAAAAAAAAAGAGTAGAGCACTAAAGACTTAAAGGAGGGTCTATTCATATGTGTACCTGTAATTAAATCGTACTCATTGAATAGCGCTACATTAAACAATTACATAAACAAACGTGCATAAGTCGCCAAAAAAAGGAGAAAGAATGAAAGCCATGTTTGAACAGCTTATTGCTTCTCTTAACATATCTCCTATATCGAATGATGCCTTTCATCGATTAACATCAATTCTTAGACAACAAACTGATGATTCAATAGCATCGTTTATATCACAAGTCTTCGAATCATTACTTTTTCTTGAAAAATGGGCATGGCAAAAACTTAGTCAAGAATCTGATCAAACATATCATCGAGAAATGTTACATGCATTAGGATCATTCAATAAACAGATAGTTTTTATCGATGATCATGTGAATCATGATGATAAATATCGTCTTCTGGTTCCTGATACATTGGATTCAATTAATCTCATATTTGAACAGTTTAATAACAATCAGAATTCATGCATCGCTCTTGCCAGTATCTGGTTTGATAATCTTTCGTATTTTATTCAAGAATATCCTCAATTAGGTCGTTCTCCTGTTATTACTCATATTAATCAATATTTCGGACAAAGTTTACTAATGAGTGAATCTTATGAATCCTATTTAAGTGAACTTCGACAATCACAATTATCCCCATCAATATTCTCGGCAAAACAACTTCTCTATATAAAAACATGTTCATTTTCTTTAAATGTTTATCTTCATACGAAACCCAAGAATTTTTGTTTAACGATCGACGAAATTCTGGAGAAAATCGGAAGTCATTATTTGCAAATAATGGAAATTCATTGTTACAATATTTCAACTTGGAGCAAGGAATTATTAGCTTGCATAACACATCTAACCGGATTGATAGACAGTTGTTGCAGTACAAATAAAAAAGAAGAAGAATTAAATCAAATACTTTTCCCGACCGAACAAATATTATTCAATCTTATCGAAGTATTAATTCGTGTTGTTTCCTATGAACCATTCTACAAGGAAATTAACAATCAACGATCAGAGGATGCATCAATGTTGGTCAATATTACTTTACACTTTATAATGAATATATTGCTAACACAAAATATAAGTTGGTATTTTCAGTCGACGACAAACCTATCAGATGCATTGCTATTGACAGTTAAGAACAAATCTATACCTTATCAATTTTTCTTTTATATATACAGTATATTAGGCGAAATTCTTAGCGAGGAAAAATTAAAAGAATTAAAATTCACTGATGACATGGGCAATTCATATTTTACTATACTCGAACAAGCTTGGCAACAACCATCGAAAACCTATAAACATCTAACAGTGTCAGTATTGCTACGAGGTAAATCTCAAACGTGTAGAATTTGTTTAATCAAATAAATCACATTTCCCATAATCAGATTAAAATATCTAACGCCAGATTTTTAGAATCCATAATTTTAACTTAATCGAAAAGTCTGACTGAATTTTTCACTCGAAATATACCTAAAGTTTTTCTATATACTAATGACTTTCTCATTAGACCGGGATGTCTTAAATAGTTTGGATGCCTTCTCATGAAACATTTACTCAAATTGTTTTTACTCTTTCAGCTTTTCTCACACTATCAAAAAATGAATTCATTCCACAAAAAACAGCAGATTCAAACAAATTATCTCTCCTTATGGAAATGTGTGACGATTATCCGATTGTCTACGATATCATATGGGCGCTTTCATTCAATAAAGATATTGAAAAACAACTTCGTTCTAATGCACCCTTCATGTCTAAATTAACTCAACTAGCTAAACAATCAGAAAATGAGCAAACACGTAAAACAATCGGTGGAATTCTATGGAATCTTGATGTCAATCACGAAAATCGCCCAATCACAGATAAACATAAGACGAAAGAATTCGATATAATGATTAGTTACTCGCATAAAGAAAAAGTTCTGTGTAAACAAATCTATGAGGAATTGATCAAAGCTGGCTATCGAGTTTGGATTGATTTCGATCAGATGCATGGAAATGTGATGGATGCGATGACGCAAGCCATTGAACAGTCGAATACAGTTATTATGTGTATGAGTGAACAGTATCGAAAAAGTAACTATTGTCGAGCTGAAGCACAATATGCATTTCAACGCGAACGGAAAATAGTTCCGATTCTTCTACAGAAACAATATAAACCTGATGGATGGCTTTTGTTTATTATTGGTCAATTACTCTATGTCGATTTTAACAAATATGAATTACCGCATGCGATGGAACTCTTAACGAAGGAACTCAAAGCTACAGAAACAAATGACGAGAATGCGTTACATGTCAGTCCGAAAGAAAACGCTCAAACTTCCCACATGAAGACAACCTTGTCGGTAACATATCCGGTAAATATTCTGCAATGGACAGAAAAACAGGTTCAAGATTGGTTAGTAGAACATGATCTTGTTCAAATGTCTCGGCTTCTTAAGAATTATGATGGTCGAAGTTTGATCTATCTTCACCGATATATGAAACATGGTCAACCACAACAAATTTTGAATTTACTCCAAGAAGATTCAATACGACGAACGGATCAAAGTTTATCACTAGTTGAATTATCACATTTTCATTCTTTGATTCATCAACGAAAACTCATCTTTCAATCAAGTGTGCCCAAGCGAACAACAAGAAAGGAAAAGTGCAAAGACAACAACGCCTCGTGATTATATTCTAATCGATGGCATACAATTTACTGTGGAATACTACTTTACATTGAATTTTACGTTTCCAACGGTATTACTTGTTATATTCTGTTCACTGAGCTTACTGTCTGGCATCGGATCAATCGATCTCGAACTAGAAATAAATATGAATCTATTATTTCTTCCTAGTATTATTTAGCTTATTATTATGCATAAATGTCGATAAGAATGAAATTTAAGTTCTGTTTGATATAAAAAGTAATCAACCAAGTTACACAATAAAATACAGATTATACTCAACAGAAAACACTTGAAAATAGTCTTTTATCATTTTTTGAGATAATATAATAGTCAATATCGTCTGTATCCATGAAAAGTGTATTATGCAATTGATTCATTTCTTCACATAGAAATCAATCTACTTGGTCTCTTGTTCGAGAATCTTAACTGTAAAAACAATCCGTTCGAATTTATTTCCACAACTAATAATCCTTTACGATTCTGACGGAACCAATTGCACAGTAGTTCATTGAGCGTATGAACTCACTCAAAATAGATAAACCACTTGAATTTCATATAATGCAAATGTAACATTCACTAGCAGCTGCTACTAGAATTCGTTTATTCAGATTTTTAAATAAATCACTCGTGATTTATTTAGCATATACTTGCACAACTGTAGTGTACTGACGCTGAAATATCATCATAATCAATAAAGTCGAATAAATCCAAAACTAATAAATAAATCCTGGTAGTCCCTGAACCTAGATGGGAATATTCTTCATACGGAACATATTCAAGGTCAATCGGTACAAATTCTTGGTGATGATCAAATAGCTTTAACAAAAACTGAGCAAGATGATAAAAATTTTTATAGTTTGAAAAACAAAATATTTTGTTCCGATCGAACTCTTCGCATCAAATTTTTTGTTCACAACCTTGGCTGAGCAGTTTCTATTGAAATTCATTCAAAACACTGAAATCATTTTTGATTTAAATACCCATTGAATATTTATATGCATTTTATGATCATTTTCTCTCGACAGCTATTACTTAGCAAGACATGAATTATGAAACTGATTCAATATTGACATTAGTTCTCGTTTTTTCTCCATCTTAAGAATATATCCCAAGAAGAGATCAAGGGGCGATAAATAGTTTCACACAAAATGAATCATAATCACATGTATGCGTAAAATTCGTTTTGCCATAAGCTGTGTATGAAATCAGAGAGCAAATAAAAGTGTAATATAACAATATACTCCATCTGGCTTAAAACTATTTTACTTATAAATAAATAAACTGATTACTGACACCCGACTAGTTTATGTATTCGCGAACATAATTTAAGCAAAATATTTGTTCTCGTCGATGGAAGATAACTTTGAAAAACTGGTCGATGCTCTATCCATAAGTCCTTTTTCAGTTGATGTTCTTGTAAAACTTACAAATTTGATTGAACAACAAACTCATCAATCTGACTCATCGTTTGAAACTCAAGCATTGCTCATTCTTGAGCATTGGGCATGGCATCGACTTAGCTATGATTCTCATAAATGGATAAATCAATCGAAATATCGAAGTTTATTTCATGCGCTGGCGTTATTCAATAGGAATTTAATTCTGAATAATGACAATATTGAAACGGAAACAAAAGCGTTACTTCTTATGCCTGATACAGCAAATCAAATCAATTGGATATTCAAAGAAATCAATCATATTGTAGATGATAATGATCCATTTATTGTTTTAGTTAGTTTATGGTTGGATAATTTAGCATTTTTCATTTGTGAAAATCCTCAATTTGATACACTACTTATGATGTGCCATACGAATCAATATATCGGCCGTCAATATGTTATAACAGATCAATTCAAATTTTATTTAACACAACTTGAACAAGCCAATGTGTCCCAAGTCATATTCACGAAGAAACAATTATTCTACATAAAAACATGTTCATTTCTACTAGGCTCATATTTAGTAGCGAAACCACAAAATTATATTTTCACTGCTGAAGAAATATTGAATCATATCAGTGATCAGTATTTGAATATAATTAATATTCACAGTCATACGATGGCATCTTGGAGTAAAGAACTAATGATTTGTATTACTTACCTGACCAATTTGGTTTGTATATGTTGCTGGTGGAGTGAAGAAACATCAATGCCAATCAAAACACTCTTCTCCACCGAACAAATATCGAATGATCTTATACAAGGACTTATTCGAATAGTTTGTTATGAACCATTTCACGAAGAAATTCAAAACGAACAACTGCACGATGAATTAAGTTTAATTGAGCCTATTCTTAAGCTTTTCTTAGTAATTTTACAAACCCAAAATACAAGTTATTATTTTCGTTCAAATATATTCTTACCAGAGATACTATTAACTTTGGCTGAAAGTTCATCACATGAAAAGCACTCCTTATGCGCATACGCTATTCTAGGAGAAATTCTAACCGATGAAAAATTAAAAGATTTAAAGTTTGCCGATAGTATGTATGCTTTCTTTTTGAATTTACTTGAAAAAGGATGGCATCATCCATTGAAAAGATTTAAACGAATGCCAGTTATCTACTTATTACGGGGTGAGTTTATATTAAACATTTATTCAAGAAACAATCGAAAATTCTCATTTTTTTTAGGTATTTCATCTCTATCAAAATGTGATGCTATTCAACAAAGTGTTGCTAATAGACACAGCATATCACTTTTTATTGAAATGACAGATGAATATCCAATTGCCTACGATATTATATGGGCATTTTCATTTAATAAAGATATTCAACAACAACTTCGTTCTAATGCACCCTTCATGTCTAAACTAGCTCAACTATCTCGACAACCAGAGAATGAACAAATGCGTAAAACAATCGATGGAATTCTATGGAATCTTGATATCAATCACGAAAATCGTTCAATGGCAGATAAGCACAATACGAAAGAATTCGATATAATGATTAGTTACTCGCATAAAGAAAAAGTTCTGTGTAAACAAATCTATGAGGAATTGATTAAAGCTGGTTATCGAGTTTGGATTGATTTCGATCAAATGCATGGAAATGTGATGGATGCGATGGCACAAGCCATTGAACAGTCGAATACAGTTATTATGTGTATGAGTGAACAGTATCGAAAAAGTAATTATTGTCGAGCGGAAGCACAATATGCATTTCAACGCGAACGGAAAATAGTTCCGATTCTTCTACAGAAACAATATAAACCTGATGGATGGCTCTTGTTTATTATTGGTCAATTACTCTATGTTGATTTTAACAAGCATGAATTTCCACGAGCCATGCAAATGTTACATAATGAATTGAAAGTTGAATTGATGGTGGAGACTCATACCGCACCGGTTCGACCAAACGAAGATAGCGTCGTAGCTCATTCCACTACATATATATCTCCACCCGAAATATTGAGATCATCAATCGTCTCTGAGAAGATTCTTGAATGGACACAATCGCAAGTACAAAATTGGTTATTAGAACATAATCTTCGTCAGTTGTCTCGTCTTTTCACTGGCTGTGATGGTCGTAGTTTACTGCATTTAAGCAAATACATGAAATATTGTGAACCCCAACAGATTTTGAATTTACTTGAAGCCGATGCAGTTCGTCGAATAAATGAAAGTATATCAGTAATTGAATTATCCTGTTTTCATTCTTTAATGCACGAACATAAGAAACGTCTTGAATTAGCGCATGGTTCTCATAGATGAATTTGTTTTTCGGTTACATGGAAGTTTTTTTATAATACTAATAATACAAATCTGTGACTAGTAAAAGAAACGCGATAGACAGGACTCATGACTTGTGTCCTTTTTTTTATAAATATTTTTTATAGTGGCTCACAATAGTTCAGTTCGGAAACTTAGGTCGAAGTAAAACTTATTTGACGATGCTGAAACGATTATATAGCGAAAAATTACTAATAGTAAAAGGCGAAGAGGATAAACAGTTATGAATGCATCGAAAAAGATAGATAGCTTCGTTATTCTGTTGTTATATTTAAAAGTAGTTGTTCGGAGATTTTGTCTTCATACTGCTGAAATCTATTAATTGCTCAATCGTAGGTGAGTATTGTGCGTACTGGTGATTTATATAGATTAATCATAGTTCTTTCATTCGGTTCAATGCAGAAACGAGAGAGGAATGGTAGAAGTTCTATTCGAGGTGCTGTTTTGGCTTGAATACGTTTAATATGTGCGCTTCAGTCAAGCGTTTTGTCAAATATTATTCCTAGATAGCGTGATGAAGCTTGTGGTTGGATTGTTGTATTTTCAACTTTGATTTCTAAAAAAATTTTCATACGTTTTCCTTGGGTGTGGGCTGAATTTTATAAGTTCTGTTTTGGCAGATTGAATTGATGATTTCCATGTAGAGCTTCATTTATAAAAATGCGTCAGCTGTTTGTTGTAATCGTTGTGTTAGGTTTTTTTACGGTGTTTGAAGAAGACCAAAGAACTGTATCATCAGCAAACAGACCGTATTGAGTATGTACATTGATTCCATTTATTGAGTCTGTAGTGTGCATGATGTAGAAGCAAGAGTGAGAGAAGTGAACATTACGGAGTGCCGCAACGTAATGTGAATACTTTTGATTGTTCATTTTCAATTTCTACTGAGGTAATTCGTTTGTTAAGAAAACTAATGACATATCGGGCTAAATATTCAGGTAGTCTGAGATTGTAAATTTTGTATATTAGTCCGTCGTGTCATACTGAGTCGAAAGCCGCTTTAATATCGAAGAAAATCGTGGCTGAATGACGTTGTTTTCCTAGTTGATCTTTCGCATATCGCTTTAGACGAGTGATATTATACATTGTGCTCTTCTTGGTGCGCAACCCAGATTGATGAGCGGGAACAATATTTCTTTTATCAAGTACTGTTGTAAGTCTTTGTTTAATAATTTTCTCCAGGATTTTTCCAATCCAACTAAGCAGACTTATTGGGCGGTAGCTTGAAGGTTGATTTTTGTCTTTTTTCTGTTTAAGTATTAAGATATTATTTGCTTTTTTCCATTCGGTTGGAATATAACCAATTGAAATGATTGCATTAAACAGATGAGTAAGATGTTCAGTTACTTGTTGATGAAAAGGTAGAGAATCAGACTTGTCGAGAAATATTTCCTTTTCAAAAAAGGCTGCGAATAGGTCAACTTTGTTTTTGTCCGTCGATGCAGTCATGTTTTTGGTATTTTACTTCGCTAGGATATATTTGTTTTGTTCGTTTGTTGTGGAACTTTCTCACTGTTTTCCATATTTTTGTTGAGTTTATTTTAATATCGCCGAGAGATTTCGTAAGTCCCTTGATTCTGGCTGTTTTATCGTTTGGTAGCGAGTTAGTCCCCAACATTGTATTGCTATAATATTCTTTTTTATCGTTGTCCTGCTTAGTTTTCTTTCATTTTCGATACGATTGATGTTTGGTTTCTAACAGCTTTTTTGTTGATGCTGATATCTCAATGTTCTTCAAGGAAATGTTGGATAATGGTATTGCTTCTTTGGCAGAATATTGGATGCTTTTGATAATAAATGCTGTGTAAGATTCAATCTATTTCCCTGTGTTGATCAACTTAGACATGTCCCATCAATTTAGACAATTGTTGAACTGTTGACGATAGAGTGGCCGATTTGCTTGATTAAAATTGAAAGAAACTCTTGATGAACATGGTTTTTCTTCAGCTTACAGAGATAGATCAAATGTAAGTGGCTCATGTTCATCAGATATTCCTAATGGAGAATGATTTTCAACATTTTGTATGAGTAAGATTGTAGGATAGGTGGCCAAAACCCAGTCAGTTTTTTCTGTATAGTTGTTCCTTTCAGACGTTGTTAAGTCGTTATCTACGGATTGTAGGTTTCCTTCTTCAAGTAGTTTTTTTTATAGTTGTTTTCCTTTAGAGTTGGTTTTGTGAGATCCCATGGATAGCACAGCTGCGCTCAAGTCTCCCAGTATAATGCAGTTGTGATGGTTCTGGTGAATTTCTTCAAATTGTTTGAAGTTTAATTTAGCTTTTGGTTGTACATGGATTGCTGCAGTAGTTAGTGATTCCTTCTTCGTCTGTATTTGAACCGCCGTCACCTCGTTCATTTCAAATGTTTGACTGATTGCATCATTACATTTTATGTTGTTCCAAATTGCTAGAAGTACCCGCCACCTTTTCTAACAGTTTGATCGTGCCGAAAAATATTGAAACCTGGTAATGTGAATTGATGCTGTAGTTTTAGGTTAGTTTCGTTTATCGAGAGGATATCGTAAATTAGGGATGCAACGGTGACGATTAATTGTTCACCGTTCCACTGCTTGAGACCGGTGAAACGCTGACGGTGGAACGGTTTTTGATCGTCACCGTTGCATCCCTATCGTAAATGTAGAATCGAGCGTACAATTCGTCCTTGCGTTTGTTAATTGAGGTGAAATTGCGATGAAGAATTTTGAGAATTGTCATAATCAATTATCGGTGCGTTGATGTTATTTCTTATTTGGTCTGGTGAGCTGCTTGGTGAAATGAATTTTCGCTTGCATCCATGCGTTGGAATCATAGCATATTCTGTGTTATGTTTAATGTTCTGTAGATTTGTTGATTCAGGTTGACTTGTTGTTTCTTTTTTATTGTCACCAAATTCATCTGGTTTATCATCTTCTGAATTTGATTTTTCGTTGCTTTTCGTCTACTTCCCAGTTTCTCGAATCGTTGTTTTACTGTTGTAAAAATTTGTTGTGTTGTTTGCTCGACTAATGCCATTATTTTTTCGGAAAGTAATTCTATAATTTTCGATTGATCGACTTGTGCGGTCCTTTCTTGTTGATGAGTATTGATTCATTGTTTTCTGTATTTTTAATTGAAATTCTATGAATTTTGAATCATCAGTTGATGTTGCTAAGTGCTTCCCTTTACAGTTGGAGCATGATGTTTTTTTTATTAATATGCGGGCAATCGTCGTATCTATGAGTTTCTTCGCCACATCTTGAGCATACCTGATGGGGAGCTCTGCAGTACTTTGCCACATGTCTGTATTTAAAGCATTTGAAACATTGCGCAGGCTTATTTTTTGATTAACTGGTTTGGTTATAAAATGCATTGAGTCGATTTGCAGTCCAATCTTAACGAATAAATTACGATTGTATGAATCTGCAAATGTAATTTTTATTGTCTTTAGTGGTAGTTTCTCTTTGTTTATTAATCGGATAACTTTTTCGAATTTAAATCCTTGATCTATCAGTGATTATTTGATTTCTTGTTCAAAAATCTCGAGGTCGACTTGTTTTACAAATGCCTCTTTATCTATTTCTATAACACGTTGAATCGAACGTGGAATGTATATAGTAGATTGCTGTTGTTCGTTTTCATAAATCACCGATGGTAACTCGTTTAATAGCCGACTGAGGGATGTCACATCATTTCCATATAGTGTAAAAGTGCTTGAACGATTGTTTTGAATATTTGAGACTTTAACGTCCGCAGATTGGTTTTTATTTTTGTTAGTGAATCTCCTTCCAATATCAGTGCAGCACTCACTAATTCAGCTCTTGCTGCTAGAGTTGATGGTAATTTATTTGTAGTAGTCGGTTGCTGAGGGGTTCCTGCATTGGGTGTGTACATACTTGTATTGTCTTGATCACTTTTCCTCCCACCACCTAGGCATCCACCTCTACGTGGCGGCATCGTTATTGGTGATTCGATGCAAGACTTCTGAACAATATTGTAATTAGTATATTGATTATGACTTGGTTTTTTTCCCTCTATTTATCCTTGATTGACCTTTAGTAAATAGCGGACAACGCATAGATAAAACGATATACGTCTTATCGTCAGCGCGCAGAAAAGAGGAATGACATCAAGTGCAATGGTTCAACTGTTATATGAGGACAACAGGCTCACTGTTATTATCTAACATATGTATTTTCACTATGAATTCCTGTTTATTTTCTTAATAAATAGATTTTTCTCTAAATCAATCTTTCTAATCAGAAATGAGTAATACGAAATCAAAGGCACGAACTTATCACTAGAATACTTGGTTTATAGATTAAGGAAACTACCCATTTAAACCTCACAATAGATGGGCATAGTTCATTCATTCAGTTCCATATCGTATGATTTCGAATGTATCCGTAAACATTTAATTCATGCAGTCAACGTATCTGTATTTTTATATAAAAATTTCCTAACGCACAATACCAGCAGTTATAAATCGACGATATTATGACCTGTAGATAAATTATGAACAGTACGATATTGTGCTATTTTTGCTTCTTTCAATTATTGTAATTTATTCACTTAATCATGTTTCTGCTTATGCGTCATTCATTTTTATCTTCGTTTTCTAATTCTTTTCAGTCTTTACTCTTTTCTCTATTCTGTATACTATGAAGACCGCTAACCATTCGCTGGTTAGTAGTGTGGCAAAAAGCACAAACCCTTATCATCACTAAAGTCTCTTGCATAGACTAAGACCAGTTCAAAATATTACTTCCATTGGTATATTTTGTGCTAAAAAAAATGTTCTACTCACCATC